CCTCAAAAAGGCACCAAGTGCAGACACCAAAAACGAGTTTGCGCTGATGAGCGAACCGAGCCGCCGGGTGCCCCGCAGCGGCCTCGCTGGGCCAGAACATCGGCCCCGAGTGCTCCGCAGCAGCCTTGCTGGGCCAGAACGTCGGCCCGCGAGGTGGGGTGCTAGTCTGGGACCCATACGTGGCAGTTCCCTTGCTCCAAGCGCTTGCGCTTCGGCGGTAGTGATCTAATCACCCGAATACCACGTTCGGATCGCTCCTCATCGCAAACCCTGTCAGCAGTTCGCCTACGGGTATGTTCGTAAGAGCTACATACACTGAAAAAGCAAGGCATAATCGCCTTAGGTCGAACGCTTATTCACCCGCCCAGCACTGTGAGAGAGAGATTTTTAGAAGCCAACTCTTCTCTCTTGCACTGTGTGGTCTTCCGCATCGATAAGCTGCGGCGCCGACTTCTGAGTTTTGTTGACTTCTGTGCCGTAGAAGAGCCCATGCCGACACTCACTTCGAGCGCCGTAAAGACGTCTAACGAGAGCCGATCCAGCAGACGTCGCTTTGTGCCAGGGCGCCGAGGGCGCCACTGTCGCTGCTGCTGCTGTCTCCAGAGACCGTTTGCCCTCACCGCAGACGGCGCGCCGCTGCCTCGTGCTCACGATGCCTCTCCCAATGCCAAATGCCTCCCAGTGCCCAATGGCTTCCAATCCTCATGGCTACCAATCACCTAAGGCTCCCATCGGGCGGGCAAGCAACCCCCCACACTGCCACACACCCACCCACCCACCCAGGCGCGCTCTACTCTTGGGGCGCGGGGCAGTGCGGCCGCCTCGGGACGAGTCCAAGCAGCTGCTGCCGAAACGCGTGGACGCCCTTGCAGCACGCTTACGCTTCACTGCATAAATCCACCACCTCCACCTCCACCACCGCATCTCGGCACCACCACCGAGATGCTCTGGGGCGAGAGTGACAGTGTTGGCATCATGCAGTGAAGCGTAAGCGTGCTGCAAGGGCGTCCACGCGTTTCGGCAGCAGCTGCTTGGACTCGTCCCGAGGCGGCCGCACTGCCCCGCGCCCCAAGAGTAGAGCGCGCCTGGGTGGGTGGGTGGGTGTGTGGCAGTGTGGGGGGTTGCTTGCCCGCCCGATGGGAGCCTTAGGTGATTGGTAGCCATGAGGATTGGAAGCCATTGGGCACTGGGAGGCATTTGGCATTGGGAGAGGCATCGTGAGCACGAGGCAGCGGCGCGCCGTCTGCGGTGAGGGCAAACGGTCTCTGGAGACAGCAGCAGCAGCGACAGTGGCGCCCTCGGCGCCCTGGCACAAAGCGACGTCTGCTGGATCGGCTCTCGTTAGACGTCTTTACGGCGCTCGAAGTGAGTGTCGGCATGGGCTCTTCTACGGCACAGAAGTCAACAAAACTCAGAAGTCGGCGCCGCAGCTTATCGATGCGGAAGACCACACAGTGCAAGAGAGAAGAGTTGGCTTCTAAAAATCTCTCTCTCACAGTGCTGGGCGGGTGAATAAGCGTTCGACCTAAGGCGATTATGCCTTGCTTTTTCAGTGTATGTAGCTCTTACGAACATACCCGTAGGCGAACTGCTGACAGGGTTTGCGATGAGGAGCGATCCGAACGTGGTATTCGGGTGATTAGATCACTACCGCCGAAGCGCAAGCGCTTGGAGCAAGGGAACTGCCACGTATGGGTCCCAGACTAGCACCCCACCTCGCGGGCCGACGTTCTGGCCCAGCAAGGCTGCTGCGGAGCACTCGGGGCCGATGTTCTGGCCCAGCGAGGCCGCTGCGGGGCACCCGGCGGCTCGGTTCGCTCATCAGCGCAAACTCGTTTTTGGTGTCTGCACTTGGTGCCTTTTTGAGGTCGGG